TTTGCAGGTGATGATTCAAATTTTTTTTGACAAAAAATTTATAAAAAGTATTTAAAAATAAATCATAAAAACGGGGGAATTTTATTTGGAATGTACCTAAATTTGGAAATGTGAAAGGAAAAATCAAATACGTTTAATAAAAAATTAAATATTAATAAATATATACCAAATTCAATTAACATGGAGGAGCTAAAATTTTGAGAGCTATTTTTTTAAAAAACTACTCGTGCGATTTTTACAAAACATGGCACTTTGGCATAATTTGAGTCGTACAATCGAAATATGGGAAAAAAATTGGTATGGTATTTCAAAAAAAAGTTCAATTTTGTTTCAAAATACCTGCATAAGAACATTGCTATATATAAGTCTAATATATATGCTAAGTCGTGGGAATTATATTGTAAAATTATGCAGGGGTATGGGGAAAATATATAGAATATTGTGAAATTATACAGTGTATTGTGAAATTATATAGGTGTACTTTTTATAAAAGTGGTTTCTTGTCTAGTTTTTCATACTGTCTCTTTTATACGGGGAAAAAAAGTAATATCCGTATTTCTCTTAAACATATATAAAGACTCATTTTCAAGATTTTTTTTAATCGACGCTCTGGCGTCGAGAATATTTGGGAGAGTTGCCAGTTGGCTTTGTCGTTGAATATTTAAGTTTTTCCTTTCTCAACAACACAGACAACTACAAAACTTTTGCAATCTGTTAAAAACTTTAAGGCAAATAACAGTTATAGCTTCCTTCTTAAAAATTTATTTTAGTTGATAGGAATGAAGCAAATTTAGGTAGAACAGAAGAATATATTTTTTATATATAAATTAAAGCATTTATGCTAACTTTAAATTAGGCAAAATTCAACTTCGAACTGTGATAAATTTTTAGAGAAATTCTCTGTGCATTTTGAGAGAATATGATAAAAGTCTCGCTAATTATTATTAGTTTCATTTGCGAAAAAATATTTTAAACAATGCTGAAGTTATTAAACAAGCATGGGAAAAAAAAATAACCTATTTATATGGCTAATGAAATTTCGGTACCTACACATTATCCCGTCGACTGTGAAAGCTGGCTGTAATAGAACCACAAAATTGGTGGGAAATCCCGCCTAAGTTTCGCCAATCATTCCTGCGGAATTCTGAAGAAACTGATGCCTATTTATTTAATAAACAAACAGTATTCATCCCGTTTTGTTTTCGTGTTTCTTAAAAAAGCTTTTTTCTTTTTTTTCCCCTTTTTATCGAACGATCCTCTGACTTTTAAAATAATCTACTACTTGCTTTTCTGTAGAAGGCAGGTCCCAAATTTTAATATCCTTACTATTATTATTATTTCAAAATGCAAGGAAAAATACAGCAATAACAGTTAATTTATATTTTTGTACATAAAAACCGTAGAAGGGATAGTACGTAAGTGTCTAAACTTCTTTGATGTTTCTCACATCCAGCAGACTCTATAAATTTTAATTTATAATTCATATTTTTTCATTTATTTAAAAAAAATTCTAAATAAACATGCTAAAATGGTTGCGGAAAAGGTAGTCTCTCGAAGGAAAGCTTTTTAATACATATGTAATAACTTCTTTTATTCCTTTTATAATCTTTTCACGGGTGTAAGACTTGCAGATTTTTATATCAAGACTCAAAGAATCTAAAAATCCATTGTAGAGTACGAGAACAAATTAATAGTATCGGTTTAATCGTAATTGACTTCTGTTATGTATGGATATCACTTACATATAAATAAAATATGTATAAAAATAAACAAAAAGAAATCTGAAAGGTTTCAGATTTAAATTACGTCCAAAGGGCCGGTTTTTTTTTTTTTTTTTTTTTTTTTTTCATTTTGTGTGTTACCTTTATTTATTAAATATCGTGTTCTTCGCACTTAAACCAAAAAATTCAGGTCAACAGCAATATCGCAAAACAATTTTAAATTTAACATATCTTTAGAATTTTTGATACACAGTCACGCGCGTTGGAGATAAAAATATTTTTTCTGTACAACGTTGCCATTGCTCGCTTTGAAATCCTTGACTTTGTTAATCAAAAATTCGTTGAAGTTTTACAAAATATGAAATCGATAATAAAACACATTCCAAATTTCAAATTTGGGAGTCCAGATGCTCATATTCTCAGGAGGATTACATTATTCAAAACTGGATGGCTGTAGGTACCGTTGTTTTATCGCAATGCGAGAAACATACAAACATTTATGCAGATTTTTCATTATTTAATTTCTTTAAATGTAATACAGGGCGATAATATTTGGTGGCAACAATTTGAAAAGTGAAACAACGCTTGTAGTGAATCAACGCAAAATGCCAAAACGAAATTAATAGTCCTTCTGGGCAAATTGCTCCTTTGAACTAACAATATGTATTAGTATATTACTGCAATGCATACTTTCGCTACCAGTTCTTTTACATTTGTATTGTAATGTCTGTTAATGTGCAATGAATTAACTGGATAAATTATTCAGTTTTTAATCTGCGGTACGTTTAGTGTAAGAGTAGAATAAACGAGCAATTAAACAGATTAATTTATTTATCACATTTTTTCATTTATTAACAGACTAATTTCTATAAAGACGCTTAGGCATGCAACTAAAGAAATGTGTTAATATTTTAAGGGAAACGTTCTACAGAGTCAAAACTACGTCAAAAATTTTGACGTAAGTAAAAGTTTGTAAGTGAACATTGTTCTGATAAATGCAAATTCGAAAGGGTTTTTCTCGAATAAAATTATTTTTTAAGAACTAGATTCGTGCAACATTCTATTGTTTTCACAGTCCATGATTTAAAGTCCAATACAACTAATTCAAAACATCTAAAAATTGTAATTCCAGCATCCATTAACAGAAGATCTCTGATGGCTTTTCCTCGGTGTAAACATAGCGACGATGCTATCTGTTCTTTGATCGCTGGGTTTTTCACTCTAGACCCCGAAGCGCGGATTTTGTTTTGCCCTGCTATGTTACCCCTCGTTTCCCCCTTTTCCTAATGCATGACTGTTTCCGTAATCTGGTTGCTTCATCAGACTGTCGCCAACCGAAACCTTTCTTTGAATTTTGATTTCTTTGTTGTATATTTAGGTTTATGCGAGCCAAACTACCATTTGCGCTTCTTTATGGCAATAAATGGCGAGTCAATAAAATATGGATGCCAGCCAGTCCTTGACTTTGTTAAATCAAAAGTTTCGAAGTTCAGTTTCGAAGGCATCGAAGACTTCTTTTTTTTTAATCAAATCTAAAAAATCAATAACACAGCTGAAAAAAAGAACATTTAAAAAAGTCGTCTCTTTCTTTTACATCTGTTAATAAATCCCACAGAGGTATCCCTCCCATTATCATTTATTAAATACTCGCAGTTTCAGTTATGCACGATATGCGGAGGCATGAAAAGTTTTAAAAAGCTTAACAATTATATAGTTTATAAATTATAAAACAGGCATTAAAACACAAAGCACAAGCACTCCTAATATAGACTTTTTGTTCGCGCCTTATGTAAATTTTGATTTTGTTCCCTGCAAGAGGGCGCCTGCGAGCGCCGAACTACTTGTATATCTATTGTACGAACTTGTTCTTCACACAGTCTAATAAACGCAAGTAACGAAAACGTTTGAGTCTACTTTCCATCCGCTAACATGGTCCGTCGTGAGCCGCGCATTTCTTTGGATGATGTGTCAAGACAATTTTTAACGTTCTGGTATAGAAGGACATTTCGTGCAGGGAAAACGGATTTATATTTTGTCTGGATTGTGAAAACAGCGGCAGGAACATGGAGTTGATTTTAAAGCAAAGACGAATCATTAACGGTAAGTTGACTCGTTTAATTTCACAAATAAATAGTTTACAAAATCAAGAAAATTCTTTTTCTGCCATTGAAGTGTACGAAAATGATGTTAGTGCATTAAGTGTTGAAGTGAACTGTTTAAACGATAACATTCTTGGTACTTGTTCTGACGCAGAGTTTAGTAAATATGAAATAGAAATGAATGAACTATTTTCCAAATTAGATGTATTAAAAATTACTTTAAAGGAAGAATCAAGAAAACTTAGTAATTCAGGCAAAGATATAATAAATGCTAATGCAAACGGCTTGAAACTTCCTCGCGTGGAATTGCCAGTGTTTACTTCTAATTATGTTGATTGGATATCATTTAGGGATTTATTTCTTGCCAGTGTTGGAAATAATAGTCAGTTTGAAAAAAATTGCAAAGCTTATGAAAGAAGCTGCTTATTTCTGAACGTTATGAAAACGAAATAGAAATAATAAACGCAGCATTAAATAAATAACTTCACAACCTGTTCTAAAACATGAATCAGCTTCAGGTTTGCGGAGATTAATTGACAACATTAAAATCCTTAAAACAGCCGGTAGAGCATTGGGGATACTTAATTATTTTTTTCTGTTAAAAAGGAAAACTTGATCATGAAAAAAAAGTGGACGATAGAGCATTCGAACAAGAAAATTTTGCTTTCGAATTCAAGCGTTTTATTTTAAACAGAGCGAATGCTATTGCCTCTTTGGCGAAGTGCCAGAGGGAGAAGGCAGTTTTGCCTTCTGAAATTAAAACTCGCGGTTCAGGTAGCAGATACGCTTTTTCGTCCCAACTTGTGGCTAATGTGTGCGTTCATTGTAAGAGTAATTCTCATTCTCAGTTATTTAAATGTGATAGCTTTTTAGAACTCCCTATCAAAGAAAAATGGGATATTATTAAAAGGAATAAATTATGTGCTAATTGTTTGAAAGATAGTAAAAACGCATCCCATTTTTAAATGTCGTGCAGGAATGTGTAAATATTGTTCAAAGCCACATAATACAGTGTTATGTTCGAAAAAATTCAAATGATGAAAAATGTCATATACCCATGGAACACGGAACTTCTGCTATTAGTAGCAATAACGCCACGGTGCCTGTTGCGCAAGCAGTTTTATTGCCTACTGCGGTTGTTTATGTTAAAGATATTAATGGCGATTTACAAAAATGCAGGATGCTAATTGATTCAGGTAGCCAGGGCTCATTTATTCGAGAGCACTGTGTAAATTTACTGCAGCTAAAGCGCACTAGTGCAAACGTAAGTGTAAATGGCCTGAGCTCGCAAAAAATTGGAAAGGTTTCAGGTTCAGTTCAATTACAAGTAACATCTCCATTTTATAAAAACGCAAGCATTTCAGTTAATGCATTAATTATACCCAAGATCACGTGTGACCTTCCTCAATATCAAGTTGATAGATCTGTTTTGACATCTTTCAAACATTTGTGGTTGGCAGATACAAATTGTTTCCAGCCTGGCCCAATAGATATTCTTTTGGGCGCAGATGTATTTGGCGAGATAATGCTTCATGGACGTTTAACTGTTCCGGATCATTCGTTAACAGCCTTGGAATCAATATTCGGCTGGGTCATTATCGGAAAGACTAAAAGTGTATCACAGACAATTGTATCGAATCATGCTAGTTGTACCAATGTTCAGCTCCAGCTTGAAAAATTTTGGAAATTGGAAGAAATTTCGGAGATAAAGCATTACACAGAAGAGGAAATTGAATGTGAAAATCATTTCAAGCGGAATTTTTCTCGTGATTCAACAGGTAGATTTGTTGTTAAGTTTCCATTTCGTAGATCGGGAAATGAACTTGGGTCATCAAGGGATGTTGCTGTACATCGTTTACAAAGCATTGAACGTCAATTTATTAAGAATAAATCTCTTTCCAGTCAATATCACAAATTTATGGAGGACTATCAACAACTTGGTCATATGGAATTGATTCCAGAAAATGAAATTGATGTTCCAGCTAATTCTAGTTTTTACCTTCCGCACCATTCAGTTCCGGATAAAAATGGTGATAAATTTCGAGTCGTATTTGATGGTTCTGCAAAATCTTCTAGCGGTATTTCTCTTAATGAGAAATTGATGGTTGGTCCACAGTTGCAGACTGATCTGACAACATTAATTATTCGTTTCAGAATTCACAGAATAGCTATAACTGCAGATATAGAGAAAATGTACAGACAAATTATACTAAAAGATGCAGACTTTCAGAGAATAGTCTGGCGCGATTCACTTTATAAACCAATTCAGGATTTTCGATTAACTAGGATTGCTTACGGTACTGCATCAGCTTCGTACCTTGCGGTAAGATGTTTACAGCAGTTAGCCATAGATGAAGCAACTAATTTTCCTTTGGCTTCCAAGACATGTCTTAGGGACTTCTACGTTGATGATTTGATGTCCGGAGCCAATTCAGTTACTGAAGCTATAGAATTACAAATGCAATTGAATCAGATGTTGTCACGTGCAGGATTTATTCTAAGAAAATGGGCTTCTAACAGCAAAGAAGTCTTGAATTCAATTAATCCAGATTTGTGCTTATCAAATGTTTCTTTGAACATAGACAATGATGATACTGTAAAAACGTTAGGTATCCTGTGGCATCCAGCTTCAGATATGTTTTTATTCAAAGTCAATTCATCATATCCTGAAGTCTTAACCAAACGAACATTACTTTCAATAATCGCAAAGACCTTTGACCCTCTTGGATGGTTGGCACCGATCACGGTTCGGTATAAATTGATTATGCAAAGATTGTGGAAACATCAGTTTCAGTGGGATGAAAAGGTTCCTCCAGATATTGAATGTGAGTGGAAACAACTTACAGAAGATTTGTTATTCATTAAAAGTATCAAAATTTCACGATTCTTGTTGGTTGAATCAGATAACCAGTTTCAACTGCACGGGTTTTGTGACGCCTCAGAGAAGGCCTACGCCGCTGCAATTTATTATCGTTCTGTGTTAGATACTGGACAAATTAATGTTCAGTTAGTGATAGCCAAAACAAGAGTTGCACCACTAAAAACCATATCACTTCCCCGATTGGAACTTTGTGGAGCATTACTGTTGACTAAATTAATGGATTTCACCTGTAGGGCTTTAAATACTCCTATATCGCAAGTTTATTTTCATACTGATTCCACTATTGTATTAGCCTGGATAAGATCTCATGCAAGCCGATGGAAGACCTTCGTCGCCAACAGAGTAGCAAAAATCCAGACTTTATCCTCTCCTGTCCAGTGGCATCATGTGAGTGGAAATGCTAATCCTGCTGATCTTGCAACCCGTGGTGTGTCATCATCTGCACTGGTTACTTCATTGTGGTTACGTGGTCCAGATTTATTGTATAATTTATTTCCTTTTCAGCAAGCATTATCTGCACCACTACTGAATGATTCTGTGCCAGAGCAAAGATGTGCTTTACAGTCAACAACTGCTGCCAGTCACTTGACAGACGCTCATGATTTATTTTATAAATATTCCTCTCTCACTAAACTTAAACGTGTTGTAGCATTATGTCTGAGGTTTGTAAATAACTGTAAAAATTCAGAAGATCAGGTAAGTGGATTTCTAAAAAACAAGTGAATTAACTAAAGCTATGCATGTGTTAATTAAATTAATGCAATATGTTGAATTTAAGAATGAAATTAACACTTTAGGCAGAAAATCAATCATTATCTGGTACAAGCAAAATTTTATCTTTGAATCCATTTTTAGATAATTTAGGTATTCTCAGGGTGGGCGGTCGCTTGCGACATGCAAACCTTGCATATGGTTTTAGGCATCCAATTTTGCTTCCAAAGAAGCACATTTTAACTCATCTCATTGTTAGACATTACCATGAAAGACTTTTTTGCATGCAGGTCCACAACTTATGCAATCTTGCATTCAAGAACAATATTGGATCATAAATGGTAGAGCTGTTATCAGAGATTTAGTTAGGAAATGTATAAAGTGTTGCAAAATTAGAGCATCTGTCACTAATCAATTGATGAGCGATTTGCCGTCTAGTCGCGTTTCGCCTGCTCCTGCGTTTTTGCGCTGTGGAGTGGATTACGCAGGTCCTTTTCAAATTAAAGCAAATAAGGGTCGAGGCTCTAGGTCATTCAAGGCATATATAGCTCTATTTGTTTTACGACAAGAGCTATTCACCTAGAATTAGTGACTGATCTTTCAGCAGATGCTTTTATTGCAGCTCTTAAGAGGTTCATTTCCCGCAGAGGCAAAAGCAGTGATATATATATAGCGATTGTGGTTCCAATTTTGTTGGAGCAAAACGCAAACTGATGGAATTTGAAAGGCTTGCTAGGTCTGCAACTTATAACCAAAATGTTAGCAGATATTTGGTTGATAATGGCATTAAATGGCATCTAAACGTTCCAGGTGCGCCACATATGGGTGGACTCTGGGAAGCTGGCATAAAATCAACAAATACCATTTAAAACGAGTAGTTGGTGAGGCGAGATTGACATATGAAGAATTTGAAACATTTCTCACACAAATAGAAGCTTGTCTTAATTCGCGACCTTTAACAAGTTTGTCTAATGATCCAAATGACTTGTCAGCATTAACGCCTGGTCATTTTCTTATTGGTAGATCATTAACAAGCATTCCTGAACCAAATTACATTGAAGTTTCCCATCTCACTAGATGGCAACATATTCAAAAAATGGTTCAACAATTTTGGAAACGTTGGCACAAAGAATATCTGTGTCGATTACAACAAAGACCAAAATGGCTTTTGCCAACTAAAAATCTTCAAGTTAATGATCTGTGTCTCATAAAGGAGGATAACTTACCTCCAACTAAATGGAAAATGGGTAGAATTACTCAGTTACATCCTGGTCTTGATAGTGTTGTTAGGGTTGTGACTATTAAAACTTCAGATGGCATGGTTAAAAGAAATATTACAAAATTGTGTCCATTACCAATTTGAGTTTTAATTCGTGTATTATAAATTAAGTATTATATCATAATTTTAATATTGTATTGTGTTTTAAATTTACTGAATTTTAACCACTAAATGTTGAAATAGTATTTCAAGGTGGGCGGCATGTTCGCGCCTTATGTAAATTTTGATTTTGTTCCCTGCGAGCGCCGAACTACTTGTATATCTATTGTACGAACTTGTTCTTCACACAGTCTAATAAACGCAGTAACGAACGTTTGAGTCTACTTTCCATCCGCTAACACACAGCAATTTTCACAGCAATTTCGGCTCAGCAGCGACCGAGCGGTAAAATCGCTGAACGCTAGTAGTTCGACCCGCTTCGTTCATACCTGGAGCCTGTCTGGGTGCACACAGAAGCTTTTGTCGGTTTCCTCAAGTGTAACATGATAAAAAGCTCTTCGCGAAGTCATTTCCCCCTTAGGCAGATAATCCTCATAGTTTTGATTGGTATAATGGTTAGCGAAACTGTCAGCCCTATCGTTGTTTATAATTATACACGGCAGGGAGATAGTTAACATATAAGGCAAATCGAAAGTCCCTTCGAGTGGTTTGGATTTAGGCAAGGAAGTTGCTTGAGGCCTCAATATGTTGACTGTAATAAAAATGAAGATTTATTAATGTGTCTCGGCTGCCAGTTTCCTATTCATTATGGATCAACATTGCACGCAATAAAAATTCTTGCTGTCAGTTACAGATTCAACATTTTACGTTCTATGCTGTCTACGTGCTGCGCCATTACTATTTCTACGTATCTGTGTAATCAATATTTCTACAACATCAATATTGCTAAGTCTTTTTTATCACACATATATATATTTCCTCCATCTGGTATGTGTGGCTGGGATTAGAAGAACACTGAGAAGAACTGGGGAAAAGACGCTTCTCCGCGGGTGACAAGTGGGAGAGGTAGAAACGTCATTTGGGCGAAAAGACTACTAAGCCTATGAACACATAGCTCCCCCTCCCGCCATTAAGCAGTTGCCGTAACTGATAAAATTTAAAAAAAAAAAAAAAAACTCTCGGAAAAGAAGATATTGTATATACGCGAAAAAAACTGGACTGGTTGGCTTACTAGGCCTATTTACAAATTATGAGATGTCTTCATAAAGGATTCTCAAGAGGAATTGGTTCGTATTTACATTACATACGAAAAAACATCGACAACCTAACGCAGAAAGAGGAACCTAATGAAGGAGAGAAAAGAGTGTCTGTTGCTGACCAAAGTCTTTTAAACACCTGATAAGGTATTTTCTCCCTCTTTCCAGCATGCCTTCGTCGTGTAACGGTAGCACACATCACGCGTATTCGAGAAGTCCAGGTTCAAGTCCCGGTGAGGCACTGCACATTTTTCATGTCTCCTGCTTCAAAAAACCTAATATCTATACAACTTTATAAATGAAAGAACGGGTTTACCCAGTTCCATCTCAATTTTGAAGGAAAACACCTCGGGGGGGGGTCAAGGAGGTCGGATCAAAGGTCTCTTACAAATTCTTCCCTTACCAACTACCTGTTGATTCGACAGTATTGTGTCTTCGCACTGCAAAGACAGTATACATTAACAAATGACCAATATCTTTATCGGGTTTCGAACCTGGGCTGATCGGGTCGGGCTACTAACCGCCATATCGAGTAGGAAAGAATAGAAAGCGGAACACACTGTTATAGTCTGAGGCTAAATATTATAAATCCGCTCATATTAATTTCAGAAACATATACATGAATTATGCTCAGGCTGTGATATTTAAGCAGATTAATTTTTTTTTAAATCATGATTGTTTTAATTCTTTATAATGCATAGAGAAACTGGATATGATTAAAATGATGACACATGGAACTTTGGAAAAAAAAAGTGCTTTCAGTGAATTTTGGTTAATTGGAATGGTAGTCCTGGAAGTTCAGGTTAAAAGAAATTTAAAATGCGAGATTAATTTTTGTGGTAATTGTTTTAAATTTGCCTAACAGTATAGCTTTATTTAAATTCTATTCTATCTTCTCTGATTCATATCACATACATTCACTTAGACAAAAAGGTTATGCAAATTCAGAGTTAATGCATGTTAGCCGCAATTAATGCCTTAGGAAGTGGACAGTCACCTGACTGTAATAAGCAGCGCCAATCTGTTTGCGAAAAGTCAGTGTATATCGAAGGCCGTTTCGCTTTTCGTTCCAAATTAGTAAATTACCCTTAAAAGTTATTACCTAGAATTAATCCTTCTTCTGGCTCAAATTTCTCGTTTTAGTTGTAACCCACCAGCGGCAGACTACTAAAGTTTATTGAATTTTAAATGCGCTTGTGAGTAAGTTGATTGTCTTCAAAGTGGCCGTTAAAAGTAACTTTTAAGTGGAGTGCCGTGGTGGACAAGGAAAATTTAGGTAGAATGGTTAAAATCTTATTACCAAGCTTAGTACTTTGCGTACTAAGGAATTTTAATCAAAACTTCTGAAATCGTTCGCTAAAAAGTGCAGAAACAGATCGTAGAAGCAATGCCAAGTTTTGTTAACTGCAAATTTATCATCCGGTAAAAAAAAGAGAAACTAACACATGTATTGCTAATCCTCTCTTTCGTACATGAAGATAAAGTACTCAACTATGAACTCTCTCCACAGAATTTCAAAATTCGAATTCTGTGAAGAACTTTATAAACTTTTCCGTTATCAATTTCGGTGCGATGTGTTCCAGTTTAATCCTCCTGTCCACGAAACTTTACACGAGGGAAATGACTGCACATAACTCTTGTTAACAATTTGATGAAAACCTGGTTCGGGACTTTTACGATAAGGCGCCAGGGGGCGTTGAACGCGATGCTGCCCGTGATGCCAACACAAAACCGATAAGAAAATCAATGTTAGGAAAAGATGTTTACGGGATTTTCGCGATGAACTAATACTTAAAGTGCTCTCGGCGAATCAGCGAAGGATTGGAATTTTTATAGATTAATGTAAATGCGCAGACATCTGTTGTGCAAGAATTTTCACGGCTTACGCACGTTTGCGGAAATAACATAAGGCAATGCGCTTTGATACAAATTACGTAATCTCAAAGGATGAAGATATGGTTCCGATTTATTTTTCGAAATCAGAGTTTTGAAATTGTATCTGCTCATTGAATGGGTGTAGTGTTATAAGTTTGCTAAAAGCACTTAATATTTCTAAAAATGAAATAAATAAAATTTTCTGTCTCTTTATAAGAAGGTAAAAATCTCCTTTAGTATTTTAAGCCTTTCTCCTCCTTGAATCTAATAAACTCTGTACTTAATCCAGCTAACAATAGGGACAGAAATATTGTTATTATTTAAAATCTAACTTTAAAAATATGATGTGGACAGACTACGAGTTGGTTTATGCTTCCAAAAGAGGTGAAACTTTAGAAATTATTATCTTACGTTATTAATAACAGCTTTTAATAATAAAAACAATTAAAAGTGCATATTTGTTTTGCATTATCAACATTAAAAATTATTACAACAGATTTTGCAGCTTAATAACAGCGACTCAGCTACAGAACTGGAGCAGCTGCTCTGTGTCACGTGATCGAATAAAAATAATTTAAAAGTAACTCAGTTGGATAGATCATGCGAAATAGTATATACTAAGACGCTGGATTATGAGTATAATTTTCATAAAATAAATGCGTGCGCCATGCCTTATATCTTAATTTTAGCCCCAAAATGCTTTTTTCAAAAATTCATGAAAAAGGAGTCTGCTATAATACTTTATTCCTTAAATTTAGCATTAAAGACTTTACATTTTTCATTGAATTTAATGCGCATTAAAGTATTTTTGAAGCAAACAAATTATACATTTTATAATTAAGGAAAATAATTTCGAAATTTATCCTTCTTATTAATTAAAAATTTAAGAGCATATTTCTAATAGCACTATACCAGGGTAAATTTGCTATCCCCCAAAAATTGAATAGAAATTTAAAAGTCGAGGTTTTATTTGGCATTAACTTTTGTA